ACCCCTGACACGTGGTCCATGGCCATTTTCCACCCCTGACACGTGGTTATAGGGAGGGGGACTCTCCCTCCAAGCAATAGCCACCTCCCTGTCCTCACACCAGAACGGATTAACGCTAATTACATTGAACCTTATGGGGAAATTTGCTTCGGGTTACGACCAATTCGGGTCGTGACCAGAGTCATGGAACGAATTAAGTTCGTAAACTGAGGTTCCACTGTAACTGACGTAATAATTAAGGGGTTCAATGTTGAAAGAGTAGACCAGTGCAAGCCCCTCTCAGCTTTGGAGATAATTGGATTTATTTGGACCGCTGTCTTTTTTTTTTTTTTTTTAGCCCAACCTATTTTATAGGTTTGTTGTTGAGAAGCGTGACTCCCATGTGGAAGCTCTCAGCAAAGTAAAACAGGATATAAATTGAATAATACATAGGTAATAGCTATATATGGTGGATAGCATAAAATACTTGTAGGTTAATAACTTTTTTAGAGTTAGCTTAATAGCTGTACAATGAAGTTTGTTCACAAGCAGCAGTGGTGAATCTTGCTATGCTTTTTCTCAGATTTATGTTCGCTCCCAACTTGAGTGATTTGAGCCCTGATATTCTGGTTTATGTTAACAATGCTTTGTCGTTGCCCTCAAAATAAACAAACTGCAGCTTATATTCTGTCCTCGTCAAAATGTAGTTTCAAGTTTTGGTTTTCAGGACAAACACTGAAGCACAGTATGCTAATATGGATCTCTGTAATGACAGTTATATTTTTAAAAATATTAAATTCATGCAAGATCTTATAATTTTGGACAATGTTCATTCAAAAACAGGCTAACAAATGCTGCTCTTTGATAAAAAAGAATATGTAACAGACTTTCTGATTCCTTGGATTTTCTAATATTGACTAAAATCAAGAAGAGAATTATAGCACAGATCATGAGACATTTTCTTTTATTTAACTTTGAAGAAGTGAGATGACGTACACCTGAAAAGAATATGACATGCCAACATACTTTTTGCAACTGTTTTTCATTCAAATAAACATAATTTTTTTAATAACTTCAAGATCTCAATGTTTTCTAATTTCATGTTTTTTCCAAAGGATTACCAGGTCATCAGGAAGTTGAAGTTAAATATGTTGACTTTGGTAATACTGCTAAAATAAATATAAAAGAAATGCGTAAAATAAAAGATGAGTTTTTAGCTCTCCCAGCAAAGGTAAGCTAAACCATCTATTTTATAGAACCCAGATAAACTGCCAAAAGACCTTCTTGTACAATTTTTACAGTTCCTTTCATAATACTAGCATTCATTTTTATTATATCAATGTTTGTTTATTTTAAAATAAGTTTGAATTTAAATAAATAAATCAGAAATGTGATACTCAAGATATAATAACCATATGATTTCCTCAGAAGACTTTTCCTTGAGCATTCTGATAGATTGTACCTAGAACCCATTGTATAAACAGACCGAGCTGCTGTTGTATAAAATTTGGATATCATAATCCAGTAACATGTCTGGGAACACCTAATGGTACAAGGAAGAAGTTTAAGTCATGTGAATCTAACTTTTGTTGTATTGGAAACTATTAGGATGCCTATATATGTTGCTCTGATGAAAATGGCATCGCAGTTAAACAGTCTACATTTTGCAACCTAGGCTATTAGGTGCAAATTGGCACATATTAAACCATGTAAAGGAGCTAGTGAATGGACTACCCAATCAAAGGACAGATTTGAAGAACTGATTCAGGACAAATGTATGCTCTGCTTTGTTACTGGTAAGTATTCATCTATCTCCCCTGGCAACAGTAACTCATGTCCTGGTCACCACTTAGTTGACTGCTGCAACAAACCTTAGGTAGGGCTGATTTTGAAGACAACCTGGACATTTCACCTTGGTGCAAAACTCAGTGTCTACTGTAGATTGCCATTGTAAATACTACCAATTTTGAAGTCACTGTCTTGGTTATTAGTAGAATTCCAGACCCCATTCAAAGTGCCGGTTATTATCTTTAAAGCTATATATACCACAGCATCAAGGTAAATGAGACACTGCCCGCTCAGAGTTGAATCTACACTTAAGATATCTAGAGAAGGCCCGAGGAGGGTTCCCTCTCCTCATGAGGTGATAGACCTTGTCTATGATGGTTCCCACCCTATGGAATACTCTCAAATATATGGTTGCCCCAACCCTTCTTGAATTCTGCAAGCAGGTTAATGTTACAGGTTGTCCTCATTTAACAACCACAACTGGGACTAGCAACTTGGTTGTTAAGCAAAGCAACCTGCAACTGTGCTTATGATCTTACTTCAACTTTCCTTGGCTTTACAGACCTGCAAAGGTTGTAAATGCGGGGATTGGTCGTAAAGTTACTTTTTATCATAGTTGTAAATGCAAACAGTCGCTAAACGAGGACTGCCTGTATTCCAATATCCTTTCACTCTTCTGTTGATTTGAGGCATTATAATTGGAATAATGATTATATAATCTTTTAACTGTCTTCATATGTTCTTAAATATTTCTGCTTTTGTTCTGTTATTCACAGGGACAAGTTAAAAATACTTTCAAATAAATAAATACTTTGATGAATAATATCAAATAATTATTAACTGATCAAAGAATAGTTATTTACTCTGATTCTTGTTCAGAGGAGAGTGTCCTAAGATGGATAATTCTTCCTAATAGTCTTACGAAGATCATACTTGTAGGAGGTTTATAAGTTCTACCATAATAATTTCCTTTTTCTTGCTAAGTAAAGCTACTTGCTGGTTCACAGCATTTGATTAATTGAAGCTGTTAGATGAACATATATGTCTAACCAGCAGTGCACGAAGAATGTATTCATAACCCAGTTCACTTAATATCTCAATTCATTTGGTAGGAACCACTTTGGGTTCAGCCTTAAAAGATGCTAGGTGATTTTAGGGCATTAACTGTATTTTCACTTAAGCCACAATTGGGTAGCTTCACACAATGTTAAGCAACAAATCACTGCTAACAAAACGCATAGAGCAGTATGTAAACCCAGTCATGTTCTTAATTTAGAATACAGAATAGTTGTATTATTAGATTTTTAAAAACTTTATAAGGACTTGATCTTTAGAAATATTTGGTGCATTTCAAAACATTACTTTTAAGGTCAGATTTTGTTACCAACACATCCCTTTTCCAACATTCAGCAGATCTGAATTTAATCTCCTCCCTTTGTAGATAAATCAGAAGACAATGTACTATCTGTTGAGCTCTATGAAAGTGTATGTGTATCCCCAATGCTGTCATGCAGTGTGAACAGCCTTTTGGTTCAAGATGGCTTAGCATCTTACATAACAAGGTAAGTATGCTTACAGTATTGCTAGGTTGTCACAGCCACTGCACTGAGTGTGTATGTCAGCATACTTCTCACTCCAGTTAGCAACTTGGAGCAAGCTTATAATTTCCAAAGTGTGCATTTTGATTATTTCAAATAGTAATGTCTCTGCACATATTTCAGCTTTTCTTTTTCTGGCATTGGTAGTAGGTAAGCGCCAATGTGAATGAAATCAATTTTCTTTTTATAGTAATACCAAAATGATTACAAGATCATATAATGAAATATGGGATCCTTCTCTGGAGGATATATTCAAAACAGAGAGATCTTTATTAAAACTTGAGAATGAAGACTTGCCATGGATGGAAGATTTGGTTTTGGAGTGTAATAAAGAATTCCAAGTGCAAATTAATCATGTTGTATCTCCTAGCAAGATATTTGTGCATTTTACGTCATCAGAAAAAATTCTGAAGAGGTAAGGGAGCAATGCGATGCCACGGAATGTATTTTTGATGAAAATATAAAGATTAAATCACTCTGCCATGTTTTTGTTTTTGTTTTGATAGAACTGATTAGCTTGTCATGATTGACAGGGATTTTAAATGAAATGACGCCAAGGAATGCGTACCCTGACCACATTCAGAAACAAAATGCAGCATAAATACTGGTTCTTTAGGAATGTAGATTTTACAACATAGGCCTGTTTTCCTTGATTATAACAGTGTTAGTCTTACATGAATAACATCCTAATCATTCGATGCCCTTTCTAGCTGAGGGTGCCACATTATTTCCTAAAATGTATTTCAATACTAAGAACTAACAACCTGACACTTCTGCACAGATCTGCAAAATTAGCTTTTAGAATTGTTTTGAACATCTAGATTTGATGGTGTGATTCGCTTTTTAAAACTTTAGGTTACAGGAAAAGATGGTTGCTACTTATTTTGAACCAGAAAATAAAACAGCTAAGTGGGAAATTGATATGAATTGTGCTGCTTACATGTGTGATCAGAATCAGTGGCAAAGAGGCCAGATCCTCAAGATTGTTTCTGAAAAAGTTGTAGAGGTAAATAATTTTAAAAAGTTATTTCTGATGCAAAAAGGTTCCTTGTAACTGGAAGAAACTCACCTATAAGTGTGCCTTTGACTATAGATTTACATACTGGTCTAATTTTAATTTGTTAACTATTTGTTGAGACAACAAAGCAGCTGAAAAATGATAAGGCTAATGATCATTGTTAACTATTGTTTGCTGAATAAACCAAAATTGGCTGATATCACACAAGTCAATAAACCTTGCTTCGCAATCTCCAGTAGCTGCAACATGCTAAGTCAGAGTCAAACAAACCAAATTGTGGTTTAATGTGAATGAGACATTAGTTTATAGAACAGCTGGAACTTAGAAAATACTATAAATAGAATGTAGCAGATACCCCTTTCTCCTTTCTTGTTGATGACCTTTACTCAGTTGTAAAACTGTTCGACATAGAAAGCTCTGAATGAAGAATTCTGTATGCCAGAAATCTGGTTTCTTTGTGAATCTTGAAAAAGAATAAAATCCAAGGGTATAATAAATTTGGGTGATTTACATAGTTTAAACTGTGTATGAAAATTCATGCCACAAGAATTGTTTGATTGATTTATTTATATGGCCACCCATCTCACATACATGACTCTAGGCAGCACATTGTCTTTAAGTTGTCACAGAACTCTTCATTTTGGCTGTAAAACATCTGAAAGTTGAAATTAAAATAGATACCTAAATAATCAGATTCTGTATGTTTTCCTGTCTTGGGTCTTGGCTGGTCTTTTTGTAAAAATGTGAAAAGTCAGCTTTAAAAATTAGAAATTAAAAGAAACCAAAGTAATAAGAAATATTCTCTAATGTAGATAAAGTCTGACTTATTAATGTGCTGTTTATTTTAAGCTAGTAGCCATATGTTATTGCAGTGTTGCAGAGAATCATGGTGGGGTTCTACTCACATCTAGATAATCAAAAAACGAACTAGTTAGTTCTCAAAGACATTCAGAATTAGTGAACAACTGAGAAGTCACATTACCTAAATTTTTGTTAAATGTTTCTTTCGCAGTTATTCCTTATTGATTTAGGCATAGTCAAAACTATGGATATTACATATTTAAGAGAACTTGAACAGAATCTGAAGACTATCAGACCGCTTGCAGTAGAGTGTTCATTAACAGATATAAGGTAATAATATATCCATGATTACTTACTGTAGTAAACTACTACAAGCCTATGTATATTATGGCAAAACAAAACATAAAATAAAAATCTGCCTGCAGAGGTGAATTCTGTATGATAAGATCCCATTTTCTGAAGTATACTACAGGTAGTCCTTGGTTAACAATGGCAATTGGGACCAGAATTTCCATTGCTAAGTGGTGTGATTGTAAAGTGCGACGTCATGTGACCACCACATCGCTTGGCAATGGCAATCCTGGCAGTCCCCGTTGCTGTAACCTCATCTCACCGGTTGTTAGGCAAGGACCCACCCAATCCAAGCCATTCCCGGCTTGGTCCCTCCCAGCCCTGAGCCTCAGTAAGGTAAGGGACTGCCTGCTCTTGAATTCCCCCCAACCTGGTTATCTCCCCCCCATCTCTGCTCTTTTGGCTGTCCTGCATAGTGGTACTCCTTGGTGGCAGCGGCACTGGGGCTGAGGTAGAGGCCCAGGGCCTTCAGCAGTCTCAGCCAGCTGCTGCCCCAGGCCTGTACTTTAGCCACTACTGCCTGCTGCTGAGGAGTGCCGCCTCAAGTCCTGTGCCACGGCCAGCCGCCACAGTGCAAAGCCCCAGCTGCCACTGCCACCCTGCACTCTACTGGCCATGCTGTCCATAGCTGTCAGGCCTAGCCCAAGGAACTCCAGGAGACCATGCAGAATCAATCCAGCAAGGTTTATTAGCTACAACCTCTCAACAACAATCTTCCCAGAATGAAACCAATTCCTAAGCTCAGTCAGTTCCCACCGATAGAATTTCTTAGGGAGGTGCCAATCTCCTACGCTTATCTCTTCCCTGCTCTTCCGGAGAGAGCATATTCTTTACTCCCCTCCCACCATTCCAGTCCATCACATCACCCCTCCCTCCATCTTCATCCTCCCCCTTGGAGTTCTCAGCAAAACTTGGCAAAGGCGGGAGGGATGACTTGTCAGGAGAGGATGGTCTCTCAGCACTGCTGCCTCCTCCATACATTCTTCCGCTGGTTCCTGAAAAATATCTACAACATTAATAGAATTAGCCCCCCTCCCTCCTACCATCTGCCAACCTGAAGTAGAAGGCTGCGGGCTGCCAGCTCGAGTCTGCTCCTCCCCCACATTCCCCACCAAACCTTCCTCCAGCGTGCTGCCCCCTCCTTCTTCTTGCTGATTAACTGCTGAT